AAAATTTCACACAGGAATACAGAAATTTTGTTATCTTTTCTATTTAAAGAACTTTGATGAAAAGAAAGATAAACTATGTAAAGAATTCAGAGAAGCAGAACATTGCTTTTCTTCTTCTATGTGTTTTCACAGTTTGTTGGCTACCATTTAAAGATATTTAGTGTCTATCACTGCAAACAAGAATTGTAAATTGTAGTGTCTGGACTTTTAGTCCATGTAGATGAATATGCACTATTCAGTTACATATATTGGTATTAATTGAATATTAACTGGCCATTTCTTCAGTCTTAATACAAGGAAATCTGATTAAATGGATCAAAAGAAATTTGTTAGGTTGAGATGAATTGAGTGGTTATTATAATTGATTCTAATATTATTATCTTTAAATAAACTATTATTTTTATGAAATAATCCTAATGCAATAAATTCTTACTTTAGGTAACCATATCACTTTTAGGATTTGACAACAAGACAATCAATAATCTATATTTTCATATAAAAACCACATGCCACCTATACAATATTATTTTAGAAATCTAGATACATATCCCATCAACTAAAATCTTCCTAACTTGTTAAGTCAAAAAGTGAAAGCTAGTGATACCTCCTTAAAAAATATATTTATTACACTCAAATAGTGTTCAAGTATTTAATAATATACTGAACTTCAAACTTGTAATTGGCACCAGTGTATAATGTATTGTATTTGTTTTGTTGGTAACAAATGGTAAAAAACCAATGTGCGTGGGCTGGAAAGGTAGCTCAGTGGTAGAGTGCTTGCCTTGCATGCATGAGGCTCTGGATTCAATTCCTCAGCACCAAATAAGCAGGAAGTCAGAAGTGGTGCTGTGACTCTAGTGGTAGAGTTCTAGCCTTGAGCTGAAGGGCTGAGGGACAGTGCCCAGGGCCAGAGTTCAGGCCCCACAACCGACCAAAAAAAAAAAAAAAAGGTCATACACATAAATGTACTCATAGGATATATATACATCATTATATGTGGAATAACCATAAAGCAATAAAATACCATAAATACAGCAATTTATGCCATCATAATCATCTCCACATTGCTCCAAACAATGAATTTTCTTTATACCGGTTCAAATGTCTAACTTCAAAGTTATCAGTTTTTGAGTGTGTTAAGGTTTCATGTTTTATGTTCAAATTGACTAGAAAGATAGCAATTTACCAATTCCAAAATGATAGAAATGCTTAATCCCATGTCTACTCAAAATAATCTCAACATATTTCTGAACAACATATTTCAGGGATACAGTGAGGACAAGCACTCTGGGGCTTTATTAATTTTTCTGTTGTTTTCAGACAAGGCATCACTGTGTAGCCTAGGCTACCCTCCACCTCAGAAACCTCTTATTTTGGCTACAGTTGACTGCGGGCCTGGTAATTTGGGAAGTAACCTTCATGGGTACAAATTTCCAAAGGAATTCTTGACTATGTATGTGTCTATCTATCTACCTATCTATCCATTCTATATAATTTTCAATTTGTGATCAGTGCCTATCCTCCCATTCCCATATGGTCATCTATATTTTCACAGTGCAAGTTTTCACTTGTATCTCAGGGTTCTCCTGTTTCACCCTCTCCCTCTTTCTTATTAGAAAAATAGAACTGAGTATTATTGCCATTTCCTGTTTCCTTGGGAGAGGGGTACCATGCATCTAATCTAATATCTTTATTGTGTCTCCCAAGTATCCAGATGTTTCCCATCAAGGAATTCTCTCTCCAGTCCACAATGCACATGAAAGTGGAATGTTTAAACATGCTTTAATCCCTAAACTATTTATCAGTGGGTTGCCTATTTTCTAGTTTCAAATGAAATGAAACAAATTATAAGAACATGTATTTTACTAAGATTTTATTTTCAGATTCGGCACATTCTATTTCTACATCTTGACTGTGTGTATTTCTAATTCTAATTGTCATAGACATTGCTTCCAATCTAATACATATAATGCTACAGAAATAGAAACATTGGGATTTGGGTTAGTTATCTTTAACCAGGATAGCTTCAAAGTGCTTCCCCAAACTTTCATTTTCCTATCCTCCAGAACATATGTTTTAATTTATTCTATATGGCTGAGTTGATTCATTATCAGTTTTATTCTAACCATACTAAGTGGTATAAACTGGAATGTCATTCATAATTTGCATTTCTTTGAACATGAACTTTCCATATCTGTTGGCTATTTGGATATTGCTTGTAAGAAAGAGCTATTTTTTATTTTCTGAACTTATCAACTGTACATTTATTGTGAAAGTAATCACTTATTACCTATGAGAACAATATAGTAACTACAAATGAGATATTAAATTAGATGAAATCATAAGCAAACAGGACAGTATTAAAACAAAAATAACAGAATTTCTAAGCATGTCAATAAAGTTAAAAACTCAAATTTATACAGTAAACCTCATTTTAATCAAGCTGGAAAAGAGACAAGAAATGAAATAAAAAATCATCTCATGACCATTAAAGAAAAAAAATGAAAGCTACAATAGATACACTGAACAGTTGATATGCTAATTTCATTTTCTTATTATCTATCTTAATTGTTTAAAAATTGTCTGGTGCTTATTTGTTTATACTGGGTCATTTTGATGTATTTAATGCCTTTGATTTTAGGCTTATTTGTATAAAGCTGTCCATAAGTATCACATCTCTTACTTAAAAATTAATTCTTTCATGTATTAGTCTGTATAACTTTAACCAAGAGCACTGGTCTAAAAGATTGGAACAGTTACATTCTATTTTTGTACCCACCACTTCTGCATTTTTGGCTTTTGAGCCGTGGGCAAGTCATTGATGCTGAACATGTGCTTTTATTTCTCAAGTAAATTATGAACTTCCTTTTTAGCTCACATATTTGCAATGAGGTTCAACTAATAAAACTGAAGCAGAAAATGTTTTCAAGGATAGAATTTAAAGAATGTAGTTTTACCTGTAGTATCTTCTTGAACAAGAACATCATTTTAAGTTTTTCTAAACATCAAGAGCGTCTTTTGGAATCTAAGTGGGAATCAGTTTCTACCTTGTACAACACAGCAAAACTCCCAAAGTTTAATGCCTTGAGGTAACCTGAGAGCAAATTATTAATAATAATCTTGAAAATCACAATTCTAAAAAATTGGCAGCACGCCAGTGGCTCATGCCTGTAATCCTAGCAACTTAAGAGGCTGGGATTTGAGAATAGAGGTTTGGAGCCAGTCCAGGGAGGAAAATCCAAGACTCTTGGCTGCAAGTAACCACCAGAAAACCAGAAGTGGCACGGTGGCTCAAAGTGGTAGAGCACTAACCTTGAGTGAAACAGCTTGGGGACAGCACCCAGGTGTGTGTGTGTGTATACACACACAGGTTTTAACATAACAATGATATCAGCTATGAATACATGCAAAAATGTATTATTCTTGCTTCCATAACTACTTTAGTACATTTCTCTTTTTGTGAACATCAAGCAATCTGATCTAACAGTACATACTGTTAAGACAATAAATCTAGGAAGGTGAATATTTATATTTAAAATATAAATTTCATACCAGTTCAAAACCATAAGAGTAATTCAAAAAACCTTAATGTCAACTGAGCCCTGGTGACTCATGCCTGTACTAATAGGTACTCAGAAGGCTAAAAGTTGTAGCCAGTTGTGGCAGAAGTCTGTGAAAAGTTCCAATTAGCCAGCAAAATGCCAGAATGGAGGTGTGGTTCAAATGGTAAAGGACCAACCATGAGTGAAAAGTCACATGAAAGCAAGAGGCCCTCAGTTCAACACAAAAGATTTAAAGCCCTAATTTAATTATACATGTCATTCTAAGTAGAGGTCTTAACAAATATCTCATTTAGATATACCTTTTTTTTCTTTTTTTGGTCAGTTGTGGGGCTTGAACTCTAGGCCTGGGAGCTTTCCCTCAGCTCTTCAGCTCAAGGCTAGTGCTCTAACACTTAAGCCACAGCACCACTTTTGGCTTTTTCTGTTTATGTGCTGCTGAGGAATGGAATCCAGGGCCTCATGAATGTGACACAAGCACTTTACCACTGAGCCATATAGCTCATTCGGAAAATGAGGCATTAAGTACATTAATTCAAACGTGAACTTGAAAAACAGTCTTAGCTCCAACTACATTTGAATACTAGTTGATTTCTACAGCGAATTTCACAAAGTAGGGGAAGTCTTATTTAAGGCAAAGTAATTCACTTGTTTACATTATATCATTTATAGAAATATTTGCATATTTTATTAACTTAGTAATTAGATTGGTCTTGAGTGTCTAAACTTGACAATGACATTTGAGTTTAGTGTTCTTGTAAGAAACTATTTACAATGCTTCATGTCTATTAAGTTCCTTCAGGTGTCCTACTGAACCATATTTTTCTGTGGCTCCATTTTCATGACAATTTGTATTCATCTCATCAATCTGGATCTTTAATGATTAGAACATTTAGCAAAAATGTATTTTGACCAGTATAAAGTACAATTATGTATAATTTGAGAAGTGCTCAAAACCCTTGCTTATCAACTATGGGTTTTTTTAAAATATAACTATTTTAAAGTGAAATGAAAAACTTAAAGGAGTCAAATTTTAAAAAGTAACATGCATGTTAAAAATACTTATATATGTATAATATATATGTTGCCATTAGAAAAGCAGACTCATTTTCCCCTATGACTCATTTGCCTCGAGAACAAAGATATTCTTGAAATAGTAAAAATGTACATATTAAAATGTAACAGGTCTGGATCATATGTATATTACCTCTTTTTTATGTCAGATGGAAAGAGAAAGGTTTTATATATAAGATTATATATAGTTTTCACTAGATGCTGGAGATAGATCATTTTCAGAACTAGATGGAGGAACAGGCCTATATAATTTATCCAGACAACTCCCATTTAAGAATAAAGACTAAATTTTAAGAGTGATACAACACTTCACTATTCAAGGACTTAACAAGTCATATTTTTTAAAAAATGAAGAGTCAAATAAAGTAATTTTTAAAAAGTTTATTCTTACTGTTTAGCAATGGGGAGATGCATTTTATTTACAACAGCAGCCATAGGGGCAAGGAAACACACAGTTAAACAGCTATCTGTATAGGATGGGTTACTTATGCAAAAATAAGAAATCTCCAAAGCAAAGGACAGTGGTGAGTTTCATAGTACCCTCCCGCAATGGTCCCAGCATGCGATAGTGCCAGGCAGTGGCCCCTGGGCATGCGGTGGTGGAAAACTAATGTATGGTAGAAAAAGCCACAAACCACAGAAATTTTAAAGAACCCTTTTCCCCCCAGACACACACACACTCACTCACTCACTCACTCACTCACTAACTCACGGTAAGATTATAGAGTAACCAATACAATTAATTGAATAGGGAAGGACAGAAGTTCTGTTGTTACAGAAAGGACAATAGGGAAGATAGGAAAAGGGAGTTTCTAACCACTGTCAACTGTATGTTAGGGAGCCTGAACTCCTTGAACAGTAGTAGTTTGTCCCCTCAGGGCACCTGCTAGACTGAGCCCACCTAGTACCTGTCTGGGCAGTGGCCTCTTGTCCTAATGATGGTAGTAGAGAAGGGGATCAAAACAAGGAAAGAGAGATGTAAAGAAACCACTACTCAAACTTACTTCCAACATCTTCCTCCTCCAGTCATAGAAAAGGTCTGAAAGAAAATATTAAAGTCATGTTCTTGGTTCCCTAACTAAAGGAAGAATAAGTAGATGATTATCTTTTCTCTTTCGTCTTGTTTCCAAAACACTGTCTCAGATTCTCCTTTCTATCAGCATTCTATTAGATATTCACAAAAAGTCAAAGGAAAGGATAACTAGAAATTACTTTTAGCTTCAGCCAAGGTTTGACATTTTTCAAAAGCTGTAATTGTTGGATTGTAGATCTGTATCTAGGCCACAAAGCTGGGCAGGAAATCTTTAGAAGGCAGTAAGAGACTCAGGTCTAATTAGTAGTTTCCTAAACTCTACCTCAAATCATCAGTCCATAGACAAGGGAAGATACATACAGAGCAAGGGGAAGAGAAGGTGGACCAGCTCCATCTCTGGGTGCCAGACAGCCTTCATAGTTCTGCTTAAGTCCTAAAAGCAGATTCCTAGTGCAGGTAGGAAGACAGAACTCATGAAGACAAAGCAGGAGGGTATACTAAGGCAGTCCTATAGAGACAAATGACTGCCTTGTAAATACAAAAAACCTATTTCCCCATTCCAATCCAAGCATAGGGAGCCAAAGATTCTCCTCTGAGTCTTCCAAAAAACAGAATAAAAACATTAAAAAAAAGGCGAAGAAAAAGGAAGTTGAGAAGAATCAGAAGTATTTAAAGAGAGATGAACTGAAACTGGTAGATGGGGAAAGCTTAAGAGTGGCAAGCAGCACCTGGAATTATGAGCTGCACCAGATAGGCAGTGGACAGGAACATGGACCAAGCCAGAGAGATGAGGCAGGGCCTTTACTGGGGCATAGAATGAGGTAAGAAAAACATTTCAAATAAAGCAGCACCTGTTCCACTCACCTCAGTCCTCCCACCCACCTACCCTTTATAAACCTTCAGTCAGGGAGTAAACACAAGGCAATTTTGATAACACAGATCAGTTCCCATCCTCCCCCTATATCCCATTTCCTAAAGTCAGGGAACTTGGACATGTTTTCCTGACTTCCAGCAACAGAAAGCTCTTGCTGTCAAGAGGTCCAAAAGGGACCTAGTGGAAAGGACTGCCCCTTTGGAAGGGCAGAAAAGGTGGTGACAGTCTGAATGTTCACCAAAACAGAGCTTCTGAGAGGGGCATTCAACAGGACTCTGCACACAGTCAGACGAGAGAGATGACCTAGTCCTGCTCCTTGGCTTCTAGCACTAAACCCATTCACATTACTCAGAGCAGCTGGCAGAGGCCCTCTTTGGGCTCATGTTTCAATTAGCCTCTTACACAACCATGATGCTCTTCAGGCCCCCGAAGTAGGAAGCAAGTAGTGACCTGGCACAGTGACCAAGTCAGACTTGTAGAGTGGCTATGCAATCAGTAACTCAAATGAGGGAAGGTACTGTCCCACACAACTTATGTCCACAGCCCAATATATAAATCTTCCAGTATGAGACTGTGCATAGTTGCAGAGGTCTCTACTACCTCTCCATGGGCTCACAATTGTATCCTCAGCCTGTCTGGACAACCAAGTTGTACTTGTCAACTTTATGACACTGGGTGGGGAGGAATAAATCAAAGCTCTGCTCAACCAGAGGCAGGGCTTGTTATCAGGTATGAAGAAACCACCAAAAATGCTGGGCCTTAAAAAAAAAAAAAAAGTTTTGAATTGTTCTTCTTGTGCAGTCAAGGCCATACAGCTTCACTACCAAATTCAACAGGGAATTTTTTCTTGGTGGTCCTAAATTGATATGGTAAGTCTCCAGGAGTTATACCTTTCATTTTATTATCAGTGAAGCTCAAATGAGAGACTTAAAAATGAAAGAAACAGTCCCACTGACAAAATGACCAGATCATGGACAAGGTCCAAACTCTCCAGGTAGCCCGTGGCATGAAGCAGATAGAAAGTCTCAGAACAGAAAGATTTTATACGCTGGGCACACAGCTTCTCACCTGTGTACCGAGGGCAGCACAGGGAATCCAGGTGTGTTTAGAGATCCATACACACTGCATACTGCCCAGCTTGTGCACCTTCTCCTGCCCAGGGTTTCAGAACTGGCCCCACAGACACGTTTAAAAGAGAGAGAAAAAAAATCTGAATTCTTAAAATTCTCCACTTTGGGTTTTTTGTTTTGTTTTTTATGCTAGCATCTTCAAGGGGGGAAATTGGGAGTTTTGTCTGATTTTTTTGTTTTGTTTTGCCCTACTTAAGCTTACTCTTCCAAGTCAAGGGACCAGTCTAGATTATTGTCCTGGTCATTTTTTTTTTCCGCCCCTCTTTCCTGCGGCGGTTACTGGAATTCTGGAGGTGAGCGCTGCAGCTGTTGATCGGGCCCACTGCCAGGTTCTCCGGGAAGGGAGCAAAGCGGGAGGCGGCGTGCTCCTTTGTCTTCCACTGGCTGAATGCCAAAATCCTTCACGCTACCCGTGTCTGCGAACTCCAGGTAGAAGTAGCCGCACTTGACTGCCCGGTGCACCTCAAAGCAGAATCCCAAACAAGAATCCTCTATCAGGTCTACGTATATTTCCTGCGCGATGGCCTCCAGCTTGTTAGTATCCAGGTTGGCCAGGGAAATCTCCTCCATTTTAACTGGTCAACGACTGTGGTGGGGGCGCTCGCTCTACTTATTTATTTATTTTACTCACGGCAGCCACGCGTCAGGCTTGCTGGGCCGCACCTAGGCCTACGAGGCCTCTCCAGGCCGCGTCTTCCCGCAGCGGCGACGGCGGAGACCGGAGGTGGGGGAAGTCCTCGGCGACAGCAGCAGCCGCAACAGCCACGGATCCGGAGCCCCGCACCGTGCGGTTCGTGTCGGAGTCCACCGGCAATGGGTTTGGGAGCTGCGCGGGAGCTACGACTCACCGACCAAAGGGTCTCAGCGCCTCCACCCAGACGCTCCACCCGGCTTCTTCCGCTCGCTCTCTGGCCGGGGATGTAGCCCCGCCTCCCAGCTTCCGGTTACTAGGGAGCCTGCGCGCGGCCTGCGCGCAGACTCGCTGCATTTTTTTTTCCCCCCTCGGACGCGTAGCAGCTCCCTTGGGAGTCTTGGTGAAGAAAGGATGGGAAGAACGGAAGTGTGTTTATCATTGTCTTTTTTTTTTTTTTTTGGTAAACCGGGTGCACAGGTGCTGTTTTATGTTGTTTTATTTACAGGCGAAAATATTCTGCCGTGAATTTGCCCAGGTCTGAATTGATTTTTCTCTCCAAAAGGGGGAAAAACAATGAAAATGAGTGCCCTGTTGTAGAACTATATAAAATGGCATTTTTAGGCTCAGTTCTTCACAGAACGTCTGAAAATTCACATCTGGGGTAATTTGTAATCCTTTATTGCCGCAGTTGTCATTTAAATCCACTAGATGGTGCAAGGAAACAAATTACAGTATATTTACCTTTGAGTATTTTCAGATTAAGAAAATAAACAACTAAAAGCATAATTCCTGTATTTTGATCAAACAAACCTAAGGCATTTACAAGACCATGAATGCAGTTTGACTACAAAGAGATGATTGTATACAGCTCTAAACGAGTTCAAAGATAAAATTTTGGGGGCAGTCTGCCGAGAAGAAATCTGAACAGAAGTTTTTCTAAAGTTAGATAATATAAATTCTTAGAGCTGCAGACAGCCTAAACAAGCTTGTGAATTTGATGATATAAAAATCAGTGGTTTTTCCTTTTTTGTTGTTGTTCGATATTGAGCCTACACCACTATGACTGTTTATCCTTATAATTTATCAAAAAATAGCTGTAAAAAAGAAAAAAATGAAAGATTTACCCATTTAGCTTTCTTATTAATATTTTATCCAGAATAAGCGAGAGATATTTATATTTCCCAATAAAGATAGGAGTCATTGATCAATGACTCCTATCTTTATTGGGAAATATAAATATCTCTCGCTTATCAATGACTCCTATCTTTATTGGGAAATATAAATATCTCTCGCTTATTTTGGATATATATATACATATATATATATATATATATATATATCACACATACATATCTCCACATTCATGAGAAAACTCATTTGGTAATCTATTCTCAATACTTTGCTCTATGTTTTGGGGAGTAGAAAAATAAGTTAAATTTGTTTGTTCTTGTACCTAGTTTGATTTTCTGATTGTACATTTTGCTGTTTTAAAACCTACAAGTTGTTGCATGCAGAGCATTTTGAGAGATTTAGACTACTTAGTACCCATATGCTACAAATTTTGCCTTTTTCTCCAACAAATCATTGTGTAATTTGTGTGTTATCTATTCAACAAAGTGGAATCATCAAAAAGCCATATAATATGATTAAACACAACAGTTCTGATTTGTCATGTCTATTCTGTCTACTTAATCTTTAATACACCAATATCAAAGACATTTTGAGCATAAAAGTCTAATGATCATGCTGGGGTGTTGTGGCATTTACCTGTATTCCTAATGAATCAGGAAGTTGAGACACAGGATCATATTTCATAGCTAATTGGAAAAGAAAATTCTGTGAGACTTCATCTCCAAAATAACAGCAATAAGCAACCTGAGCAAATGCAAGGAATTCAAACCCTACAACGCCATCACTTCTAAAAAAGAGAGAGAGATAAGCACAATGTGAAATATATTCAACTGCAATCTAATATGGACAATAAAATATCATAAGGAAATTTACGTTCTCTAATTAAAGCCTGTGATTAAAAATTCACCCGAGTTGGTTAGAATGCTGTAGCAATGTTTCTTGAAAATAAAAAAAAAATTGTGAAGAATACTGCCTTACTTGCATAAGTTGATAAGGCTTGGAAAATCAGGTCTCTTTAAGACCTAGGCATCTGTTAGTAATTCTATTACATCTTTTGTTGTTTTTCGCTGTCCTTGGCCTTTGAACTCAGGGCGTGGGGACAGTACTTGAAATATTTTAGTCAAGGCTGGTGCCTACCACTTAAGCCACAGCTCCACTTTCAACTTTTTTTGAGAGGGGTGGTTAACTGGACATAAGAGTCATATGAACTTTCCTACCTGAGCTGGCTTCAAACTCAAATATTGATCCTCAGCTCTCCTTCTCCTGAGGATCTAGGGTTATCCAGGCTTGCATCCTGCCAACTACATCCATTTCAAAAGGACAGTATATTCATTGCTTTATTTCCCTTGCTAATCTATGTCCAGTAACAGATCCTGGTCTAGGTAGTTCTGGTTTCACCAAGAATAATTTGGAAAGTTCACCCTCATGATTATCACAACATAAAAGCTATGCATGGGCCTGTTTTGATTAGTGATATATGGATATTTATTTCTAGTACATGTCATAATAAATTGTAAATTGCAAGGGCTAACAGAACAGAAGATTTAGTAAAAATGTCTTATGGTATTTCTTCACTTTTGCCAACTGAAATTATATCTTTCTTTCTAATTTTTGATAAAACTAGAGATATAACACTAGAAAGTCCAACTTGTTAGTGACAGAGTTGAGACGAAATATCAAGGCGTCTATGTTCTTTCTATTGCACAATAGGTACTTCAATGTCTACATTTTTTATTTCAAATTCCTTAGTAATGAATAAATATACTTGGAAAGAAAAATAGAATCCAAAATCAGCACTAGTATGTAATATATTGCAATCTTACTGCCAATATAGAATGTACCAGTTACTAAAGACACAAAACATAGTTTATTCATTTTTGCCTTATTTGATCTTTCATTTTTATGCTAAAGATTCAAAACATTTCTCTTAAATTAATAACCCAACCAATCAATAAAAGACCATACACATAACTTAAGAATTTATCTTGAGTATTAAGCATCAGGTCTTAACCTGCAAATTACTCACTTCCCCCAAGTAGTAAAATGTTTACAACTTTTCTACTAAACTGACTTTTTTATTGTTTGGTGCAAAACTCCTTTCCTCCCTCCCTCCCCCCTTCCCTCCCTCCCTCCCTCCCCCCTTCCTTCCCTCCCTCCCTCCCTTCCTTCCTTCCTTTCTTCCTTTCTTCCTTCTTTCCTTCCTTCCCTTTTCTCTCTGTTTCTTTCTTCGTTTCTTTCTCCCTCCATTCTTCCTTCCCTCCCCCTTCCTTCCTTCCTTCCTGTTTTTCATAGTTGTTTGCCTTGACGTTGTAAAGACTGATTCATGTAGTGAATGGAACACACTGTTTTTGGTTTCTAATTTGACTAATGCTCATTAAGTTTTCTTTCGTTTGTCTTCTTCCATCAAGAGCTGTCTCATATTTTCTTAAGTCAAGCTGTTAAACTGGTGGGTGGGATGCTTTTCATTCTTGTGTTGCACAGACAGGCATCTGGTTAATACCACCAAGTGAGAGATTAATATCCTTGCAACAAAATCTTGGTAAATGGAAAATCAAGGTCAAATTTAGGTACAAACATGGAATTATTTTCAAATATTTCATTCATTTTTAATTAAAAATTCTCATTTTTAGGTTATTCTCACGTAAATTTTGCTTGTTCTTTCATTTGTAGGGAATTTAGTCCCTAATATTGAATTAGCAAAGGAATTATTGAAACTTAATTTGTCCCAACTCTCATAGAATTAATTACCCTCAAGTTTCGCTTCTTATCTATTTCTTACAACATCCTCCTTAATCTAATTTTACATAGGATTTAAATGGTTAAAATTGCCTTAAACTTAAGCATATAGTTGTCCCACTACCTATAGTTATTATCTCCACAAATTATTTCTTAAGAGAAAATAATTTTTCATAATAATGGCAAGTAACAGTAGTGATTTCCTTGATATATTTGAGAGTTATTAGTGGAAGAAAGAGAAAAGAGACAGAGAAAACAAATAGGAAGGATGAACTTAGGCAAGGTAAAATTAGTTGTTTCACTTCATAGTGATTTGAAATGAGTTAACATTTCTATATTTGCTATTAATTTTTTTGGTCTGGGAGCTGAGCCTATATGCATCCCACACAAATAGCAAATTTTCATGGATAAATTGGCTCTGTAAATAACTTTTAAAAGTACACACACAAATCAAAACATGCCTTTAAAACAGTTCTGTGCATTGAAATTCTCTGACCATCCTTCCTTATATCAATTGTCATATTTCTAGAGTTATCCTTTGGGTTGTACTGTGTCTATCTTTTCCCTTTATTTATAGTTTAGAAAGACATTTCCATAGCTAGATTTTCAGCATGCTCACCTTGGGAAATTTTATCTATCTATCTATCTATCTATCTATCTATCTATCTATCTATCTATCTATCTATATTTGGCAATTGTGGGGCTTGAACTCACTGCCTGGGAGCTGTCCCTGAGCTTTTCTGTTTTTGTTTTTAATTTTTTTTATTGTGAAAATACTGTACAGAGAGGTTACAATCACACGAGCAAGGTAATGAGTACATGTCTTATCAAGCATTGTTGCCTCCTCCTTTGTTTTTTCCCTATCATACCTTCCCTCCCATCTCCACAACTACATGACCCCATACCCCCTCTCCCCACCCCCACTCCCTGCCTAAATTTTAAGGTTCATTTTTCAACATAGCGTCTTGTACTTCTCATTGTTGCAATGGGTCAACCTGTATCCCTATCCCTGAGCTTTTTTTTTTTTAAATAAGTTTTTTTTTATTATGAGAATATAGAGGAGGGGTTACAGTTACCTGAGCAAGGTAATGAGTACAGTTCTTATCAAGCATTGTTGCCTCCTCCTTTATTTTTCTCCTACCATCCCTTCCCTCCCATCTCCACAACTACACTCCCCCCTTCCCCGCCTAAATTGTAAAGTTTGTTTTTCGACATAGCATCTTATACATGTCATTGTTGAAGCAATTTGTTTTTTCCCTTCCCCTCCCCAAATTATACCAATATTAAATACAGTGAAAACAGGAGTTATACCATGGGGGGAGGAAGATACAAAGCAACAAAAAAAATCGCACGGTATCTTATAAATACGTTAGAAGCAATAGCAAGCAAAAAAAAAAATCAC